AAAGGGGGGGGGGGGTACATCTTTTTTGGGGATAAAATGCTTGCGCGCGCCGCTACTACGTTCTTTCTTCCTACAGAGTGTGATTTAAATTTTTTTTATACATTTATCATGTTTAGGATACAGTTTAAAACAAAAATGTCTTTTTTACGATATTGCAGTGAGATTAATATAATGTATTTTATTTCATTTTAAATTGTGAAAAGTATTTTATATTCTTCTCTTATGAATCACTCATAATAAATGTATTGATATTTATTTTGCGGAATGTTGTTATTGATATTGGCTAAGCTGGTTTGTATTTAAATTGAAACAAATCTATATGCTTTGACTTGTTGGTCGTAATAAAAAAATACAAAATTTTATATTAAAAGTACATCCCTAATACAAATAATGTTCATTGAATTTGTATAAAGATAATAGTGATGCAATTTACAACAGAGATTAACTTTTCTATCTGGAGATTCATAATTTATGTTGAAGCTGACGATAAAACTCAGATCCCTTGTGGGAGCAAGTTATTCTACTCTGAAAGGAGATATTTACGACACATAAACCGTTATTTGAAACATGAAAGGATCCTTTTACGCATAGGGGAGTCGAGAAAATGGATACTAATGTTTTACGATTGAAGAAAGAGATGATGCTTGTAATTAGAGTATGAATCTATATTTTACGAAAGAAGCTTTCGATTGACTTAGTTTATAGTCTTCTATTTTTTTTAAAATGTTGATTTATCTTTTATATACACAATAATTGAGAAATTATGAAATTTTCAAATTAAAATGAAAACGTGATGCAAGTTTAAAAAGCGCGTTATAAGACTTTGCAAATAATAGTACATAAGATTTCAATGGTACGTGATATGAGCAAATAATTTGAATAAAGTCTATATCAAATAGAGAAAAGTGATATTTTTGCGCTGATGATTTCCGAGCTTGATATGCCATCTACTACTATCACTACTATTACTATCACCGCCACTACTCGTATTAATAATGACAATAAATATTTGAACTAAAAGTGAAAATAAGAAAGTGGTGATCAAATCGATGATAAGTATAAAAAGCGAAAGCTCTAACAGCATTCACTATATATTGTTCTTATCAAGTCTTATTGATTCTGTTTATAAATCCTCTATAGTTATTATTCATATATACACAAAATACTCCAAATATTATAAATGTGGGATGTAAATAAAAATAAATAGTGTGAGGGTGTAAAGCCAAACAGCTCGTTTACAAGAACTATAAAATTTCAGACACCTCGATATCAACAAATTATAATCTCAAAGAATAAAAGTATGAGATTTCATTCCAAAAAAAAGCACCAGTTATACGATTTCTCGTCATAAAGTAGATTAGAGGAGGACCAACCTATAAGCGCTTTGTAGTAACTGGATAGGCACCGAAGTAAAGCGAACGGTGGAGATATAAAAGCTGCTAGGATCGTTTGCGTCGTCGTCTACGTACCCGTAAAAGATTCGCTCTTCCCTTTCCCTTTCCGCTTGATGTCGTCAAAAATGACGACTAAGAGGACGATGTAACTGAACGTCGTAGCTCTTCGACGTTGCGTTTATTAAAAGTACCACGCATATACTTTGGTCGTATCATACACCCGATACAAGAGTCGAGAGATTTTTTTCTCCACGTTTGTTTCTACCATAGGCAAATGTTATGTGAATTTAGTTGATAGTTCAAAATGTCATTATGCATAAAAGAAATGTTAGTTGAAATATCTGTTGGTATATATATTCAGCGTTCCGAGACCATTATACACGTTCAATCACATATTAATAAGATATTTTTAAAGTAAGTAAGTATAATCCCTCCACATAAGGTTTGTAAAAGGACCGGTAGGACCATAAGCACCGGATTGCAGATTTCATGATCCTTACTGAATACGCGGGGAGAGCGAGAGGGTGTCGGTATAGAAAGGTAGGATGAAAAAAAGAAAAGCTCCGTCGCTTATATACGGCAAGCTCCCAACGGGGATCTAATCGAATCATGTACACAAACGACGGCTAATGACCGATTCGCAAGCAAAGCGCAGCCGGGCCAACCGATAAATTCGCGTGCAATATATCTAGAATTGGTAGCGTGTCGGGTAATTAACCCACCCTCGCGGCCGTTTACTATGCCCAATTATTGTGGATTGATAATCACGCGCCCGTTACGCCCTCGTCGAGATATCGCAGGTGGTAATAGCCTTTTGCACGACGTCATTACTGATCCACATCCTTTCTTCCTTCCTTCCATCTATCCTTCCTTCCTTCCTTCCTTCCTTCCTTCCTTCCTTCCTTCCTGACCTTAGGTATTTCCGAATGCGAGTCCCTTCTTCAAACTCGTGAAATTGAATTATGAATGATAATGAGTAAAAGGCCAAAGATTTTTACTAGTGTCACAACCACCACGAATACGGTTGTATCGTAGATTGAATTAAACAAGGTGAAAAACCAGGCAATGGCGTGCAAAGCACCTGCAAATTACTCTATCCCAAAATCCTTCTTACATCTCATTAAATAACGTATTATATGCCACAGCTATCTTACAAGCTCTAAGCTCAGCCCAACAAAGTCTTTTAATTAAAACAATTAAAATTATCTACACTTTGCACGAGGTTATTTTAAAGAATGAATTCACTAGAGTTGGCATATCATTTTTCTAAGTAACACTTGTCGTTGTAAGTGAATTATTTCACTAACTCAATAATCTTGGCAATGTTATGTCAATTTCATTTCGATCAATTAGAATTATTTTATATGGAAAGACTTTTCCTACAATAAATAGTCCACATGTCTCTCTCATGTTATGTCCTTCTTGGAATAGAAAAAAGTTGAAACTTCAAATTATAAAGTACCACCCCCTAATACAAATTTTATACATGGTATACCCGTTACATGTATACTGCTACCTCTTCTTATCTGTTATATCTATCTTTCGGAGTTATTATTGATATAAGATAATAGCCTCTTATATTTACGATAGTGTGTAATATATATTATTATACTGCACTATACATATAAACGTATTTTTGTAGCTACATAATTAAGGTAGTATGATTCAAGTTTCGATGTTGAGGACGTGCACGTA